CGCTGCGGCAGCCGAACCAGGCGGTGGTGGTCGAGTGCAGGCGACGAGCATGTCCATCGCAGACGGCGAGGATGACGACGAGTGGTCTAACATACTCCCCGATGACTCCGCCTCCTAACGTATTGTAAACTATTTTAGCTGACTCGAATGTTTGCACTTAAGAGAAATATGATACATTACATACACACACAAGCACATGCATGAACATTATAGGATCGATGCAACACGTATACACTAAAGGCTCATTGCAAATCTGTATAATATCTTAGGTGCAAACAGACGGGTTGTGTTTGCGGCATTGTGGATAAGAGATCTGACGAAGCACATTATACATGTATATATGTAATATAGACTTGTATATATATATATATACTACACGAAGTACATAGACGTGGATATATACACACACGCATGCATACACGTACGTACCTGGAGCCAGTCAGAGGAGTCCATGCACGCTTGAAGAGATGTGAGACCCATTGTTTGATATGTTTTAGCTTGAGGTACGTAGGGGAAGACACGTTCATGAACGAGAGAGAGAGAGAGAGAGAGATAGAGAGAGAGATGGCTGGTGACAGAGAGAGGGGTGAAGGGGGAGGATGTGAATAAGAAGGAAAAGAGATGCGCCACTCTCCTCGGGATTGCTGTCACCATTCAGATTTCTTCGACTTGGACCCTCCATTTTTAATTTCCAGAATATCTATCTATCGTTGTTGTTAAGAAAAGAAGTTCGAGATTTAACCTACAAAAAAGAATGGAAATGCATAATTAATTACCCTCGTTAAATGCATTTTTTTAAAAAAAAAAAGTTTACTTGTCTTTTTTTAAATAAATTCATCCCACAGATTCTGATTTCAAAATTCAAAAACTGTTATATGAACTTAAAATCGATTTCAAATGATTTCATAACTTATAACTCTGCTTCTTTTTAAATGTAATTAAACATTAGATATGCATGCATGTGGCATTCTTTCTTTGACTAGATGATAACATCATAAAACAAAGATGAACATATATATAACATAACTTTCTCTTACACACATATACATATATATGTACTTATTAGTTGAATGAGCTATTAATACAATACGTACAAATATATATATATATATATATATATATATATTCCCGCGTGAGCTCTCTAAGTTTTTTTTTTTCTGTATATCCCTTTGCCACCTTGATTTTTTTCACGTAATGTGACCATTTTCTTCTTTTAGATTTTAAGATTATATATGTCATTAGAAATGGAATTAAATGTTGATTTAACATATGGTATGGTTCAAGGGAAGAAAACCCAAGATTCGTATATATATTCATCCCGCGAAAAATCTATGTATGATAAAATCTTTATATCTTTTGATCATATGTTTGTGATTTAGAGGAACTAAACATCTAGTATTAATTGTAACAAATATTTTTAACAAAAAAAATTTGTAACAAATACGTATCCCATGACACATACATACATACATACATATATTATATATACATGCATACATACATACATACATACATACATACATACATGGGAGATGTGGGGCCTTTGGCCTTCGTCGGTGGTGTTCCAATTTACTGGGGCCCTCACAATGTGTCTGGTCACGACCAATACTCTCTCAATCACTTCTATCTTTGTCGATCCAACGGTCACGATCAACCCTCTGTGGGACCACCAGGAGAATGAGAGCCGTCGGATGGGTTCAGAAATAGCGGCGTGATCTTCACACAACCAGACAAAGCAAGAGAATCAAATTTTTTGGGAGTTTCCGATAAAGGTATCGTCTAGACAAGAAGACGACGAAGACTACTCCCACTTGCGGGGTCCAGCGCGTGGGCTCCACTCGCCTCCCGTCTCAAGCAAAGTATCTATTCCCCCTCCACGTGGCACGCTGTCACAATTTTGATTCTCTTTGGCATCCATATCAGATGGAAGTTGACGTCCGAAACTGTTATAACGAACGCACAAGGCAAAAAAAACATATGGTAAAACGATGATATATAATTATAAATATCCATTTTAAAAATAATGATAATTATGTATATTTTATTAAATAAAATCAATGGCAATACATTAATCTTGAAGTCCTGTGTATGCTGAGAATTCAAATGTAAATTTCGCCTTGTTCATTTGGGCCGAAACGCCTAAATTAAATGATAATATTAAAAGGATGACGGAAAAGCAAAATGTATAAAATCATAACGAATATATATTTTTTCATTACATCGGATTCTATATGGAATGATTATTCCATCTTTCGAAGTATATTGCGTCACCTAATTTATCGAGGATAACATTAAAATCTTGTATTTTACTCAATTAATTCCTTACACAAAATATATTAATCTGAAAATTCAGATAAAACTAATATAATGCATTCCATGTATATAAAACACCTTCTAATATTGGTGTCCACAATAAATACAATTTCTAGATCCCCCCTTCTTACATATGTTTCATAACTGAATTTTTTTTAGATTTGAACTAAAACCCATAATACCATCAATAATTACTAATCAATCATATCTAAATTGTCAGTTTCGGTTGATTTATATGTTTTACGTAGTTTGATGTTATTTCGTAGAGTCAAAAATTTATCCAATGCACATTTGAAAGATAGCGGTCGGGGTTACCACCATTATAAAAAAAAAAATCGAAGATTTCTGAATTTGTTTAGATAGAATAAAGTTGGTAGAATATGTAGTTTTGGTTTCAACAGTAGAAGACAAGTAGCAGTAAGAAGATTGTAAGGATATAGGGGGAATTCTATACTTAGTTTTTAGGGAAATCAATAATAATATTTCTTTTAAAGAGTAAAAAAAGGACATGGAAATTCGAAAACGGTGAGCGAATATAATACATGATATGATTTATTGGACCCACCCTAAATTATGTATTGTAACACTACAACTCAGGTGAATAAATAAAGTCGTCTCTCTCTCATTAAATTAATTTGTTCCATTAAATCACTGATACATAGAGAAAATCAATTTTTGAACGAATTTTGAATGATTATACCTAACAAAAAGATGTACATTTTGAATTGGAATAACATGGTATCTGCAATTACAATTCAGATAAATGTTTGATTAAGTTTTAGAATCATATCTTAAAATGGTATTATGCTGTGTGTGTGTGTGTTTTTTTTTGCAAAAGGTGGACATATGCCAAGATATGAAAAAGGAATAAGTAACATTTTTTTTTGTCGATTTTATGATATTACTTTTCTTTTGTAAAAACAATATATTACACATATAAAGTTTTGTTAGTTATATAAACCATGCACTTAAAATTTTCATACAAAATTATGAATATATATATAATATCATATCAAAGATGAAAATGGGAGGGACTGTACCTTGCAAATCTATTGGAAGATAAAGAGTAGTTTGACCAAAAAAAAAAGATACATTTTTATTTTTTTTATCTGACTATCCAAATTATTTATAATTAGTCTATAATCATTTAAATATTTTAATACCATAGCTTATGCTAATATTATCAATTTATCCCATAATAACATCATGAATAAAAATAATTTTGCAACCTTTTTTAATTTTGGTAATGAATAATCATAAAAAAATGTTTGGTAAGAATTAAGTAACCATCTAAATATTTTGTAAATCCAAACCGGAGGTTAAAGTCATAGCAATGGCGGTTGGGCCTTTATGACAAATGTGCACTTTCAAAATAAATGAGAACATTACTAATCTCAAAAAGCCTCTAAAAAATCACACACACACACAGGGGTGTTTGATTTTGCCCCGAGCCCGAAGTCCGACCCGGACCAATCCGAAAATTAGCGGGCTTCGGGCATAATAATCTCGGTCCGAAAAAATCGGGCTTTCTGACTGACTTGAATCGGAGTTCGGGTTCGAATTGGATCGGTCCGAAAGCCCGATATTTAGAAAAAAATAAAATTTACAAAAGAATTTATGCAGGCCGATCCGGTCCGGTCCGACCCGATGCAAGTCCGGTATATATAGGGTCGGACTTCGGATTTAACTATTTAGGTCCGAAAAAAATCGGGTCGGCCCGAACCCGAAACCTTCGAGCCGATTGTGAGCTCGGACCGGGTCAGACCCGACCGATTGACACGCCTGCACACATATCTATATTTATGAAATTCGAATTTTTGAATAAAATGTTGCTCTAAAATATGAGCACCAACTTGCAAGTGAAAAAGAAAAGACAAAGTGCAAAAGCATTATCTATTTATTTACTAGGGAATTGGGCTTAAACAGAACAAAACAAGAAGCCTAATGGACTTCATTCTAAAATAAAGTAATTGCGCCACGTGACGTGTGTATTTCGGTTCGGTCGGTTGTTGTACCTATAAAATAACCGTTTGGTTACTGAAATGGTACAACCGTTTGGTTCGGTTCAGTTAATAACCGAATAAAACCGGTTTAACGATCGGTTAATCCAATTTTAACCAAACAATCTAGGTTTTTCTTCGCTTTGGCTTCCTCATCCCTCGTCGGCTAATATTCAAACTCCCGTGAATGGCGTGAAGTCTCGTCGTCTTCAACCCGCCGGAACACCGTCGACCACCGCAACCGTCGCCGCTACTGTCTCCGTCGCAGCACAGTCACTGCTGCATCCTTGGGGGTTCCGGCGACCGACAAGATAATCTGTGTATCTCGCATCTCTCTCTTCCACCCTCTACAGTCTCGTCGATTGCTGCAGCACCGTCGCCACTACCGTTTCCGTTGAAGCGCCGTCACCGCTCAACCCTTGGAGATTTCGAATCCGTTTTGACCAACCTTCGTCTTCACAGTCTCCCTCTGCATTTGCCTTGTTCGTCCGTCACTGCCACCGTCTCTGTCTCGCTTCAGGGTATGGCTTCCAATTCCATCGTTCCTCCATCTGTCTTCCGGTTTCTGGGTCTTGCTCATATCGATTCGTTCGTTGCTGTGTCTGCTCGATGCTTTTGTTGCTTTCGATTAATTTGCTGACATTGATCAGTTTGAAGCTCGATTTGGGTAGATACGGGAGCTCAGCCACTGTGTGGTTCTTCGTTGCTATTTACCTTTTAAGAGTTTCGGTTTCGCTTCGGTCTTGGGTTATTTGGTTAAAAAAAAATTATACCATTCAGCTATCTTTGGTTCGGTTAGAATTCGAGAAAATTTCTATTTTCTAAGAATTTTTTAATTTTTTTAATATTTAGTTCGGTTTGATTCGGTTTATTATAATTTTTTTAACGGTATTATTTATTTCGGTTCGACTCGGTTTGGTTCTTTGAAACCAAATCTATTTTGGTATTTATTTTTAAGTTTGTTGAGTTCAATTTGATTTTGTGAGGGACCACGTGGATTGGAAGCAGATTTAACGGGTGCAAAACTGTCTTATAAAAATACAGGGCGGAATTGTATTTTAGTTTAAAATAAAAGGTCTTATTTCGAGTGGGAAACGATCATATAAAAATAGAGGGCGAAATTGTAATTTTGTTTAAAATAAAAGGTCTTGCATGCAACCTAACGCCAACGGTCATAAACCTTTCGTATGCACAAAATCCCTAAATGATTTCATCCTTGACACTTCTGTTTCTGTCTTCTCCGATGGCGATTTTGCGCTAAAGCTCCAATTGGATGGCTACTTCTAGTGGAATGGCTACTTCAAGAGACGTCCAAGACATCGTCTCCAAGCTATCGTCGGATAAAGCCAAGACTCGTGATGTAAGCTGTTTTAGTCGCTTTGCCCTTGTTTGGTTTCAAAGTTAGCATTTCGGCTTCGTTTTGCATGTTTCCTTTGACTTCCATGGCGGGTTCTCAGAATATGATGCTTTGCCGTTTCCTTTTTTATCATCGATTTCTTCTCTAGGGGTTTTGGGAAAAATAATCAGATTATGTGGAAAATTTTGTCATGTGGGTTATGATCGTTAGTGGGTTTCCTTGTAGCTTCGAAGAAAATTCAGGATATTCGAGAGAAAAGATAGAATCTTGGACTGCGTTAGTGCTATATTTTCCTATTTTTCCTGCCACTGCATCTCCTGTCTTATCATCTCCTCCGACTGTATCGTATACGTTTGGTTACCCTTGCCTTTTTTGTTTTCTTTCCCAGAATATATGGGGATTGAAAGAGAAAATGGTATCTTCTTGGGCTTTTCTTGTGACAAACCATAGTGTGTCAAATGGTAGTATGGTTCCCAGGGAACACCAGAAATAAAATATAAAGTCCGACAATGATGACTAAACTCTAGAAAATTATTCTAGTGTTCTTGAACGATGTTATAATCCATGGTTTTGTGTTGATATATTCCCAGAAAATTACAGTTATTTTATGATATTGTTGATTTCAAGTTGTTGCTTTATGTTCAGGATGGCATCAAGTTATTGAATACCTGGCTTGAAGGGGAAAGGTCCATTAAGTTTTGCAGATTTATTTCGAAAAACACTGCAAAGCTTAAGTTGGATGAGATTCCAAACTGTACGGATTGATTTTGACATTGGAACTTTTGTGCTACTATCAAACTTTTATCTAATTCGCATGTCTTAATTGACCTTGCAGCTGAAACGTGGCCTTTTTTGGTTAAACTTCTCATCCAATGTGTATCCCTGGAGGTATCAGGTAGTAAGCGACGGATGCCCAAGTCAACTGTTGCTAAGACGCTTCGAATTGTTATTCAGAGAGCAGAAGAAACGAAGTCTGCTGGTTAGAAATTCTGTAAAATGATTTAGCTAAAATACTCTTAAACTTATTTAACACTGGCCTTTTGATGTCTCAGGTGTACATTTCCCTTTGTTGTCGGTAGCTAAAACACTCTTTACCCATATATATGATGTCTTGAGCAAAACCCCTAGCTTCCAGTCTGAGTATGGGACCATACTGCGACATCTTTTGGCAATTAGGGAGTACCAGTTCCACATAAGAAAGCGCACATATTGTAGTGAGTTTACTTAAACTTCAAACATGCTTAATTTTCTTATCTTGTCATCATTATGGTGGTATTTTACCTGTTGCATTACTCTGAAATCTTAATGCATTTTTTCTGCAAGGTTTGGTTCTTCTGTATATGGATAGAGTAGAAACAGGATTTTGTGATAAAAGCAGTGGTCAGCATAGCCAGAAGGAGGATGCTTTTCGTAATATCCTTACGCTTCAGTCACTTCTAGAAAACTCCCCTGGAGATTTTCCCGATGAACTTAGGGAAGAAATAGTGAAAAGGCTCAGGCAAATATTCTCGTTTGTGAGGTCGCTGATTTGTTTGGAGTTCAAATTTCTTGTTCATGTTCTTAACTTTTTTTGAATAATGGTAAAGTCTTACTAGTTTCTTGTAACATTTCTAGAGACGAGGGAAAGCTCTCACGTAAGCTTATCGAATGTGTAAATACGTTCTTGCTGAGGGATGGTCCTAATTTGGGCCCTTTATCATTGGAGCTTCATAATGTGGTTCGGCAGTTTGTGTTCCGTTGTTGGTTGGCTACCCATGATAAAAGCCTTAAGGTTGTTTTCGTTAGTTGCTTATTACTTTTATGATTATGTTCTCAATACAATTTTATGCCCTAAATTCTTGTTGTCTTTTTGTTCTACCTTGCAGGAGATACTTGCATTTTATGCGAGGCTGCAACTAAATTTAATGAGAGATTCTAGTGAATCTAGTTCTCTTGTGGAACAACTTCTTGATGTGGTTTCTCGAGAACTTGATCTAGGTAGTTCAACAGGTTCTGCATCATGGTAAAGCTTGTCTGAATCTTTTTTCTCCCCCATACATACATACTATTTTATTCCTCTCGTCAAGTGATGAATTTATGATGAAAATATTTTTTAGGGGTGATTCGACCAAGGTTGACAAGTTTGGTACATTAAGCGGCTATCAAAATGGTTTGGTGGAGCTGGCAGCTGATGTGTTCTATCGGGTATCTGTTTTATAGTCTAATTTCTTTCTTATATTTAATAATCGTTCACATCGTAATCAACTTGGAGTTCAATTCAAATTTCTAGCAGTCTCTGGAAGTTCCTGTTTACTAAGTATATTTAGTTCGCATTATGATTTTATGAAGGACTTATTTTCTGTGGTGAAGTTTGCTTTGAGTACTCTGGAAAGCATTCTCTCTTGACACTACAATTTTGATCCCATTAGATATACTTGTAATTAGTGGACATGCTTTTTTTTTCCCTTAACTTTCTTTGTGTGTGTGTGAGAGAGAGAGAGAGCTGATATTCATAACCTCTTCAGGCATCTGGTAATACATCTAGGCTGTCATTGGCGGGCAAACGAGCTCGAGGGCAGCATACTACATCGCGTCTGGTTGAGGCACTAACTGAAGGAAAATGGCTATGGTATATTCTACAACAGAATATTATTAGTGCACATTCCTGTTGTCTAGTTTTAGCTATTTATTCACTAGTAAATGGCATTTTGCTTGGTGTTTTGTAAACTATTTGTCCATTTGTTAGTAAATTAGTCCCTTGTTCCTGATTTCTCAAGAAGGCATATCTTTAACAAACATTCTAACTGAAGTGCATAAGCTTTATCCAGGTGTGCCACTTTTTGTTGTCTTGTTCGGACTTATTGCACTCGTATCAGTCAGGATCTTCTTGTTTATTGGTTTCAAGCTATCTGTGCGGATTTTCAAAGGTAATCGGTACGGTTTTGTTTAGATATATAGTGGATCAAGGCTGCTTTCTCTCATAAGGAAAAAAAGGCTGTTAGAATTAGAAATTTGCTTGCCAATGTACATCTAAATGTGTCCTTTTCCCCCTCCTTATCTTTTGTGTATTACAGATTTCTGAACTGTGCCAGTATGAGGTGCTCTTATGATGGTCTGTTGTGGACTTTGAGGTAAGTCTCTGATGAAACTTTGTTGAATATGCACTGGTTCTTTGATGTCATCGTGATTAGTACTTAAAAAATTCAAGATGGAATGTTTTCAAGTACTCATAGGTCAAACTCTCGCTTAATGATCTTTATAAAATCGAACAGTTTTAAGTTGTCAAATCATTCTGAACATCTGCTCCATTTGACAATTCTGTGACTTAATTTACATCTGAAGGGGTTTGCAAGAGCTCTCTTCCATTTTATTGTTTCCAGATGCATCTGCGGAGATACCTTCAAAGTCACCCTTTTCCTCTACTGAGGTATTTCGTTTGTCTGCTATCTCCTTCATGTGTGAGAGCATACTGGTCATAGTTTGTTGGATAAGCTTTTTTTTGTTGCACCATGCATTGGTGAGGATCATAGTTGAGTTGGTGTCCTTGCTTCATGCCATATTTGGTTGCTATGTCTTGCTAATATACCTTGAGGTAAGCACCAACAGTATCAAACTGTGAATGTTACTTCAGTGTTTCTAATATAGAATAGGTGGTACTACCGTGGTAGCATAGGTATTTCTTGAAGCCCCTCAAATTATGGTGAAAAAAACTGGGAAATAATGTTGCTTTCTTTGAATCTTGGAAGGAGGTTGGGAAAAAATGAAAAAAAAATCTAGGAAATAATGCCTGCATTTAGGGTATTTTTTTTCATCTTGATTTGGACAAATACTGGACACTAGATTCTAGATATATGACATTTCTAAAAATAACCTCCAAATGACTTGCCTTTCATGGTTTGACTCAGGAGCATATTGGTGGTTCATTATGTTCTCTCTCTAAATTGTTAAACAAAACAATTATTGAAAGATAAATGCCTACATTTACTTGAGTTCTGGAAAAGTTTTTGTTATTTCTGTTTTAGTAACTGAAATGGTTTTTATGCCATTTTTCTTCATGAGTAACATTTTTTTCTATTTTTTGTCTTTGATGTTGATGTTGATGTTGATGTTGATGTGTGTCTTTGAAGCCTGCAAGTTCTTTGACTGATGCAAACAATATGCAGCTAGAACGTGGTTGGCAGATGATCTGGAGTTCTCTAATCCATGCACTAGCTACATTCAGCAACTTGTCTACAGTTGTATGTATATCTGCTTACCTTAAATATCTGCTTCTTTCTAGTTACTACATATCCTCCTCTATGTTTAGACAATGATTTCCTACTCAAAGAATTCAGAGAATTCGGAGAAAAATGTCATGTTGGCACATATAGTGATTTGATTCCTTGTTTAATTAACTGTATTCATGAAAACCTATCTGTATTTTTTAATATATGGTTTTTTGGTAATTCTGTCACATATTTGGAATATTTTGTAATCATATAGGAACAATTTTAAAGTTTTTTTAGGAGCAACAAAATTAAGGGGGTTTCCAGGTCATCGGAGATGAGTTCTAGGTTTGTTTTGATAACTTCCCAAAAAATTTACATGTGGATTTGTATTGGGTAACAAAAAAGCCTCGAACTTGTGTACAGGTAACAAAAAAAAAACTGTTTTGAGAAATGTTAATCATTTGGTGAAAAATTGTTAAATATCTAGACCTTGCTTGTATTATTTGTGTCTAAGTTAGCTCTTTTCCTTTTTTATGGTTCTTGGTATTTTTTTATTAATGTAGGCAAGGCAAACTAACCATTTGATCCTTGTTTATTTTATTTGTATCAAGCAAATTGGTTGGTGTTATTTTAACTAAAAATTGGCTTTTGGATGTTCTATGATTTCTATTTCAGTCAAGATTTTATAATTGTTTTTGAGGTATCATGTTGGTATAATTTCAAATGTTCTTATATTTTTCTTTTTCCAAATGTGGATAAAAGTTAGACTGTCATGCTACTTCATGAAATGGGTGGGTAACTGAAAACATAGCCAGGAGGCTTGAGATGTGGATCATCATAGGCACAGTAGCGTGGAATAATCCTGGTTGTTTTGAATTGTTATGGATCGCTTACTTTTTCATGATTATGAGCTACTGACATTCACATATATGCAATGGCTAATGAAGCTTTGTTGTAGAATTTGTAGGTTAGCTTAATTACTTTATTTTTCTGCAGGTTGATGCAATTTTGGTGCTTCTCGGATCGATAATATCTAGTGTGAGTTTGTAATTTTTTACACACTTTTTTTTGGCATGTATACGGCTTACTTATTTTGTTCCTTTGTTCAGCGCCGCATAAATGTGGGAATTCTTCCTCAAGAAGTGTGGGATCATCAGTTATTCAGACATATACGCTCAGAGTAAGTGTGCCTTCAAAACATCATCACAGACTATGTGTTTAGCTAATTTTCTGGTGTGCCAATAGGTTGGAAAACCATGTGGAACCACTTGCCCTGGAATGAAAAAGAACAAAAGAAGTTTATATTCATGTTGGTGGTGTTAAATGCTTTACTACTTTTTTTTTCCTCAGTGAGATTACTTTGCAATTGATGGTTGGTAGGCCTGGAAAGTTAGAGAATTTTGGTCTTCAAATTCTTGAATGTTATACTGATCCACCATTATCTATGGATGATAACGTTTATTCAGGTCAGCCTTGTTCTTCATCGCATGTTACTTTTCACGTATGGGTTGCCAGGTAAGCAAACCGGTTCTTACTGGAAACTGCATATGGTTTTGTTTAAAAAATTGTCACCTTTGGATGTTTAGGAGCTCGAGGTGCTGTTTCTTATAGATACTTTGTGCAGGGAAACCTACAAGATGATTTGCATCTTAGAAGAAATCTCTTGAGAGCAGTTTTTGACATTTTAAGCGGGAAGGTATGGTGAATTCTATTTTTGAGAATAAAGATAGATGTTTTCTTTTTCATAGACAAGGGATTCATCTAGAAAGCAAAAATAGTCTGATGATTTTGGTACCTTCCATTGTATATGTGGTGGTTAGTGAAGAAGTCTTTGTATGTGATCTGACATAACCACTATTTTGAGTCTTTTTCCTCATAATGAGGACAGTGGTGGGATCTTAGTTCTATTTAGTGCATTTGACAGACTGGGTACAATTTTGATTCCATGGTTAAACATTAGCTTTCTGGTTCTTATTCAGGTGAGATGACATTGAAATTTCATGCTTTTTTATTATTTCTCTCTGGATAAAAGGAAAGGTGCTACTTGATTTGCGAAACTTGACATGTTGTGGGATTGGACATGTAAATATCCTATGCAGTTCATCATTTGAAATATATTACATTGCATTACCACTTCCAGTTGTGGACTTGTATGGATCTCATTGTTCCACTTAATCATGTTGGAGCCTTGATTTTGGGCTGACACGATTCCTAGGGTCCTTTTACTCTGAATGAGAGAATGGTCTGGCTTCTACCAGCTGCTTCTTTTGCACTATGTGCTGGTCGTACAACTTCAATTCAATTCCACGAGGAGCACCTCCCAACATATGCTGAATGGGATACCAACAAAGTGGCAAATGGTGTGGTGAAGGTGCTTGTTATGTTTTTCTTTACCCCTGTGGATTTTATGCCTTATTACTCTGAAATGTTTGTGGGGACATCTTCAGGAGTTAATTTTACTGGTCCTTTGTTTCTTTGGCAGATGGATGATCTTGATGCAGAAAGGACGTTTGGACCCTTTGAGTGCTCTGTGGAGGTCCTCACAAGAATTTACTCTAGTTCTAGCAAGGTGATGAAATAATTATTTTTTTTACCTTTTTCTTGACTTGTATCTATGCTGAAACTTTTTTCTTGTTCTTTATACTTTCAGACATCCGATAGCCATTTTTCTGATGGGGTACAACTACCTAAAATATTAAGAGATCCATTGTTTCATGATATGGATGTCTATGTCCTGAACATTATCCAGGAGAAGGATAGTGAGAAAGGACCTCTATCAGATGTCTTTATGGAATGTTGTTTGCTATGCCATTTCATACACGGTTCATCCATCATGAGGTTCATTATCTTCTCCTATTTATTTTTTGTAATCATCTTGTTTTTTTCCCTTAATTTTCTTGGGGAGAATACTTTATTGTTTGGTTCGCTTTTTGGGTCATTTTTAATCTTATGAGTGGAAGAATTAAGGTTGTCATCTGTCTTATCAGGATTTTTTTTCCTGTATGGTAGTTATGTATCTCTTTGGTGGTCTACTTGATTTATAACCACTGTTCATAGTTATCTTCAGATATTTGCTCTTCCTACTTTATAATTATGTTATTTTTCTGCATGGAGTCTCCCTTAGTTCAATGCAAGTAAGTGCGTAAGGCATGGCTATTTAACTTAATTCCGTGTTATGCTTCTGCTGTGTTAAACATTTTAGATGAAAAGATGAAATAAATTGGTGGTTGTGAATGTTTCTGCACATTCTCACCTGTCAAACAAGCTTTGGTAGTTAAACTGTATATGTTCCTCAAAAAACTTATCACTTGGATATCCTTTTTGCTTTTCACAGGAAGGGTGAAGGAAGCTGCTTGTTTGTCTCAAAAGCATGCCGGTATTTGTTAGGAGTGCTGGATTATGCCGTTGAATCAGTTTTAAAAAGCTTTAACGATTTTCAGTGGCTTAGTTCCTTGGGCTTTGGCGCTGACTTTAATGACAAAAGCTCAATAGTTGTTTCGTTTAGGTCTCTTATGAATTCTCCAATGTTCACTGGTGGGAGAAACCAATATTGTTCTCCTGCTGATTATGATGCTGCAGTTCACTCCTTAAAGAAGCTCTTGAGGTCACTTGCTCAAGTTTACACAAAATATACTGAGTATGCATGGAATATGCCATGTCAAGTTTTTCCGTCAAAATCATCAGCACCTGATTCTCCTGATGTCAATAGAATCATGGATATGGATTTAGATCTAACTGAAGATACCAAAGACATGGATATTATGGCTGCTGGTGGTAAAGCTACACCCAGCATGCCGATTTCTTTGGTGGACTGGAAGTTGGGCATGATATCACTTATTTCATGTGTTTCTCCGGTTGTTCAATTTTCTACATGGGAAGTTTTATATAACCTCTTGGAGAATGAATGCGATCCGAAGGTCTTTCAACATTCTTATTTATGCGTCAATAACTTGAGCTTTTGTGGTGACCTTACTGCAGCATCTTAGTCTATTCCTTCTTCACAATGCAGGTGGTGGAGAGTATACTGTATAGCTTGTGCCGCCTTTCTTGTTTGACCTGGATGCCAAGGATTATAGATCTGGTACGGGATTTGTGATTGCTGATTTAAAGCCCAATAAAAAGCAAATTCAGACAAAGAAAATGGATTATTTAAATTGTCTTTAACTAATTTTCATGTGCTTGCGACTTTCATCTCCTTACTTTCCAAGGTAAATTTTGTGGATAGCTTGATTAACACACAAGTGAAGCTCAAGTGTAACTGTCTCAACATAGTCACTGATCTCCAAGTTCTACTCCACACTTTATACACCTCGAAGCTGGATTCTTCCGGATGCCAGACGAAAGAAGGAGAATCTGATCAGGTAATGTTTTCACCTGATTGAGTTGATTATTTGTTTCCCTTTCATGCTCTAGTTTATTCAGTGCTCAAGTAACGTGCAGTTCCTTGTGCAACTTGGTGCAATGGTGAATAAAACTGCTGAATATGGTCTCCTCGACTGGTTTGGGCGTGTCAGGCTGATCAACTGCATATGCAATTTTCTCTTGCTGAATCCTCAGATTGGCCAGGTGCTGTTTCTCATATAACATGCTTTGTTTTTAGTGTTGAAGCACTGGAGTAGCTGAGACTGATGATAGCATGTATTGCCAATGTTTTCATTCCTCTTTACGTTGTCATGAAGTGGTGAGGGTACACGTTTAAAATTGATGCGTCAAAGTTTTATGAAGATAAAATATGGTATATTCTGGTTTTGGACAGGAAACTTGAGGTCTTCCTTGCACTTATTACATGTCAGAAAATGTTCAATCGAAGAAAAAGACAATATAGTTTGGGAACTATAAAAACGGTTTTAAGAAATGGAGTAAGGAGAAGTAGGTAAATATTGTTCCTGCTATATATTTTGGTGCTTCTCGCCGAGAAGTTCTCGGTTTTGTTTCTTGGCGGTGTTTGCGCTTTTACTTTTCTGTTTGACTTTTTACGCTTGTTGTTTTTTGTTAAAAAGTTTAGATTGTTCCTTGCACATTTCCTCCTCCTCTGTTAATTTCATGTTTGGTTTTTTGTTTAATCGATTTCTGTTTTAATTTATACAGGCAATGATTGAGAGACTTCTTTTGATGTTGACTGATCCTGATTATCGGGTGAGGTTTGTCCTAGCAAGAAAAATTGGTCTTCTATTCCAGACATGGGATGGCCATGAGGCTTTGTTTCAAGATATTTGGTGAGTTTCATGTTTATTTCTTCGAAGGTAGAACTATTCATGTTTATTTCGTCTAAGGTAGAGCCATTCTTCCTATCTTCTCCCATATCGAGGTTGGGGCGGGAGGGTTAGATTGTTTTTAGAAATTTGTTGTGGTTTAAGGATGGAGAGAATATGTTATTCTGCCTTTGTTGTGTAGAGAAAATAGCTACGGTAAAAAAGAGGTACTGTTTTACAGAAGTTTAATCTTCTCACATGTTATCTGATGCCATGCGTTTCTACAACATGTATAATTTTATGGTGTTCTGCTTTCTTAAAATCCTTGTGATTCGGCTGTTAGGGTTAGATTGTTTTTAGAAATTTGTTGTGGTGAAAAGATGGAAAAAATAGGTTATTCTACGTTTGCTGTGTAGAGAAAATATTCTACGGGTAAAAAAGAGATTGATCAGTTGGGTTCTGTTTTACAAAAGTTTAATCTCCTCGCATGTTTTCTGATGCCAAGCTTCTATATGTGGTACATGTTTAATTTTATGGTGACCTGCTTTCTTTAAGTCTTTGTGATTGGCATGGTTTGCATTTTGAACAGATTTAATCACATTATTATTTGTTTCCTCTTTCCGTTATATGACCTTGTTGCTGAAAGGATGTTAATTGTCTTTGAGACCTGAGACATAGAATTGAACTTGTAAAATGTTGTCTTGAATACCACCCTCTAAGTAGCCATTGCATGGTCTGGAGTCGATTTATAAATGGTAAACCGGAACATCTCTGTAGTATTTATAAATTTGGTGTACACACATGGACATGATTAATTGTTACTAATTTAAATTTGTTGCCGTCTTAATATATCTTTCTTTGTTTGGTTGTAGAATCATTGGTTCTTTTCTCTTGTCCTGTTTTCTTTTCCAGCTCCAACTTTGGTGTTGTATTGGTAGCTTCCTCAAGGGAGAAGATGGTCACTGCTAGGGATGTTTTGGCTGCTGGTCCTCAGCCTAGCACTAAAATGGAGACTGTCATTATCACCCTTATGCATCTTGCTTTCCACAGTGAGAAAATAGAGTTGGAGGTAATAGTTTAGTCTTTTGGTATTAAACATTTGAATTGCTTCCTACTAGGCTCAGTCACTCATTTATTGGAACAATTACACAGGCTATTTTCATGATGTGCACAGTTTCTGCTATTGATCCTTGTCACAGGTATATTCTGCATTATGGTGGTGTTCTATTTTGTAGTGTACGGAGAACTGACTTCTGCTCCTCTGATATTCTTGGTTCAGGGAATTGATCACTGCAGCACTCGATAATCTATCTACACAGCTCCATTATCCATCTAGGTTCAAGGTGCTAACTTTTGGTTGTCTATTTATTTCTTCCGTACCTGTGTAATGAATGACTTTATATTCAAGTTCAAATTTAATTAACTATTTATCTGTTGATCGTCCTGACATTTTACGTTGATACAGGGTCAGTTGTTTTTTTCTTCTACATCTGCACTTCATAAATGCGACCTAGATGATTTAAAATTTGCCTGTTTCTGGAACTATTTTTACAGTACCTTGAGGAACTCTTTGGTCCTATCCTCTTTTGCTGGATAGCTTGTGGTGTTAGTCTAGCTGCTCTTGTTGAGGTATGCTATTAACTAAGAGTTTATGTACTACATAGTATTTAACACGGAAGGTCGGTCCATCTTTTCCATTATGATTATATACAACCTCGTAACTCCTTGTATTTGGCCTGTCTCGCTGTTTGAAAGAAATGAATGTATTCATTTCATTGAATCTTCTCTATTGAACTACATTCATTTTGTTTTCTTATGAAATTGTACGCTAAGTGAGGTTGGTTCCATGTTTGACTCTCTTGTTATAATCTTTTATGTGTACAAATAACACTGTTAGAACTGTGTTCTGGTGGATAAGTGGCAGAAGCTAGCTTGTTATTTTGCTTTTTTACGCATTGATCTATTATGTCGAATAAAAACTACATTCTAATTTCAAAGTCCGAAACAACTAGTTGTGATCCTGGGTCCTAAGGATAGTGGCTTTATTTTGGTAGTTTTGAGAATGAAACGTGTCTATTTTCGCATACTATATCATCTGGTGATTACTTTACTGCAGACAAGGCAGCTTTTCATTTTGGACGCTGAGGCAAAATATTTCATCCAGTTTTGTTCCCATTGGCTGCTTCCAGCTCTACTGGTACACGGGGATCATGCCAACCTTAACTGGGTTGCTAAGGTGAGGTTGCTTTCATATCTCTTTTATTTCTTTGCTGGTTTACAGAATGCAAAGACCAGTTTGTGGATAGTGCTTTTATTAGACATTTGTAACAGAAAAATGACAAATGTGTCCCTTGGATTATTTATTCTTTCTGGTTAGATTTTGGACCGAATTAATATGACATCAACTGCTTGATCTCCGGCCAACTAATGCTATCTACAAATTGTTGCAGATAACTGGCAGGCCTTTGGCTGTGATGGTCAGGGAGAATTTTGTGCCGATCTTTTCAATATGTATGGGGTTACACTGTAGTAAAACGTCTGAATGTGAAAAAGGTGCAATAGAGCTTCAGAATTCAATTTTGCATGTGGCTGAGATCAGCGAAAATGAGAGGGATAAGCTCATAAAGCAGAATATGGTATGATATCTGTACAAAATGTAGTACATGATTTGAGCAATATTTTTAGCTTCTAAAAGTTATTCTGTCTACCCTAGTACGTATTTGGTATTTGTGGATGAGCCAAAATGTAAGCATTGTTAAGCTGCAAGATCAACAGTTTGATGTTTTCTTAGTGACCTAAGTGGTAAGATGATTTTGGGCCCATCATGCAGTATAACCGACTCTGGTAGTTATGTGAGCAGCTAATCGTTTAGATGGAGAATGAGGAAAGTAAAAACTTGTATTTGCCTTTAGCTTCAATTTTCTCCGAGATCCTAGTTTCATAGGACCTTTCAATATTTTTTGCCAAATACAATTTAGAATTTGTTTAAATTTTCTAATATGCTCTCTGTTTTATATGTTTTTCAGGTGGCTATTGTTAGTTTCAGTTTTTCCGTCGCTTCCTGTTGTTCAGAACCTCCACTTCCTTTTTTTTCCCGTGACACTGTCGCACGTGCCATTCAAACAATTGTGGATGGCTTTCTGGAAATGTAAAATTGCTTGCTCAGTAATTGACTTCTTGGTTTTTTATTTGTTTCATTCACAATGTCTTTATCGCTTTATGCAGGTCTGATTTTCCTGTGAACTCTGGTCTTATTGACAGGATAAACATTTTTCGCCCGGATAGGGTGTTCATGGTACATATTTAATTTGATGATTGGATCAGAAAATTGTTATGTTCTTTAACATACTCTCTCATGACCCTTTCTTGTTGTTTTACAGTTCATTGTAGAAATACATTACAAAATCTCAGCCGCATGTCACCATCGGCGTACCCGTCATCATTTGGCTGCACTTGAAGTGCTTACTAGTATTCTTGGTCATAGAGCTTCAGTTCCTAGTTCCTTCAAGTGCGCAGAATCCCAGATTTGTTTTCCTTTTTGCCAACAATCTAATTTCTTCCAATTTATTAAACTATGCTTGAAATTCATGCGTATGAAAATGAGTATATTTTTTTCTCTTATCTGCATTTCTCCTCTTGATGGCCCTTATTGATCTTTTAAGATAAGGTATCATATTGGTAAGCTGACTATGTTGTTTTTTTTTTGGTTGGGGGTGGAGATTACCCTTGGACATGCCAACATGATAGAATTATGTTTCTCTCTTATCTGCATTTCTCCTCTTGATGGTCCTTATTGATCTTTTAGGATAAGGTATCAAATTGGTAAGCTGACTATGTTGTTTTTTTTTTGGTTGGGGGTGGATGTTTACCTTTGGGCATGCCGACATGATAGAATTATGTCTCTCTCTTACACTAGTTTATTTGATTAGATTATTAGTATTTTTGATATTTGAGTATATTCTTTGACCAGCATCTTTCTATATTAGTTTTGTTCAATGAGAGACTGAGCGACTTCTAGGTTTTCCGTGTTTCCTTATCTTCTTTACATTCTATGGCCCAAATTTATGGCAAGATATGTTGTGTGGCATCTCCTTTATGATGCATGCAAAATCTTTGTTGTTGTTCTGTATTTTTTAATTCGGAGCAGTTTGAGTTAGTGACTTCAAATAAAGAGTGATTGTTGTTTAATTATCATTGTGGACTCTTGCAGTTATCTATGCAATCTAATTGGAAAATTTATCAGCTATCATGCCCTGCAAGACCAATGCTGTGTTATATTTTCTTACTTGTTGGATTCGTTCATAAGCAATTCGACAAAGGAAGCTGTCAGTGTACTAGGTGAACAACTTCAGGTGTTTATCATTTGTATTTTTTCAGCATTCATGTTTTTAACTTCCGAGGACTGTTTGAGCTCCGATGAAACTCTTAGTATTTTCTTTTTCTCCACCTGTTATTTTTGTAGTTTTTGGTCTCAAAATTGGTGACATGCTGCATCAACGCTGAGACAAACATTAAAGGTTCCGGGCCATCTGTAGCTTTAAATTTACTCCACAAACTCATTGTTGATGCAGATTCGTCTCTTTACGACGATATCAGAGTAAGTGTCCTACATGTGGAGTTAAATTTCTTTAAATAAGTGCTATGTTTGGTACTACTGTATAGAGTTTTTATCTGGAGCTAATATTTTGTAAGAATTGTCGAGACATTTATCTTTTTTTATTGTGTCCATGTATTTCAGGATTTGGAGCCATTCCCCGACATGGATATTTTTAGAGTCCTCCGAGAATTTCACATTGGGTTATGTGAAGACTATTCTCCAAGGAACCATCTGTTGAAGGTAGGTCCCTGTATTTCAAATTATTCTGTTTTTCTTATTGGAATTTCAGTCACCCACTTTATGTTTCCTTGTCATCCCTCCTAACAGTGTGCTAGAAGATCTTGCTACCTTCCACCAAGATTTCTTTCCTGGAGGTATCACTTATATTTTTGTAGAGTTTATTATTTCCAAGATATGCAGTAAGGTTTCTTTACATTCGAGGACAGGAATGTAGTGAAAAAAAGTGAAATGATGACTGGGAATATATCCTTTCATTTTAAATTGGAGACTTTGGTTTTGCTTATCTCATTACAGAAGGAATATCTAGATTCTAGAAAAAGAAACATATCTGCTTGTTCCACTTCTTTTGTTCCTCTCACAAATCCTTTGCCTTTTTATCTTTTCTGCTATGGGTAAGCACTGTCTACTGAAGCTTCTATGTTGCTGTCATGGATGCAATTTTTAAGTTCTACTTTGTTCCAGGAGTTAATTCCGGAAGGCAGACATTGTTTACTTTTAATTGATCTGACTGCTACCTCTGCAGCAATTAAGTGGATAGAGTTTGACCAATAACTCGTACACACTGCATGTAACTCACAAAGGTGCTTTTAATTGATAATTTGTTTGTTGCAGTCTCCAAGCACTGCACAAGAAGTTTATAGCTGTTGAAGCTTCTAGAGAAGACAACAATATTAAAACTGCAGACATAGTATGGCATTCAGACAATGAAATTGTTAATGCTGTTTGGACTCTTGTCCATATGTCTGCCTCAGATGAAGCAGATAGTATGAGGTCGTTGGTGTCTGATTTTGTATCCAAGGTATCTTTCTCTTACCTTTATGGTTTACCTGTTCTTGCTGATTTTTTCTTTGTTATATTCAGGACTCATCCTCCCTTGTTATGAATGCAGGTTGGTATTGGGGATCCACACAGTGTTGTTTTCCATCTTCCTGGGAAGCTTGGCTCATTTCATGGTTCTCAATCAATGAGTCATGATATTGGTTCAAAATTCAGATCTTGTGCTGATAATGGCATATCTGATGAAACCCTTATTGCGCTGCTGAAAATTTTGAAGAGATACCTTCTTGATGAATCCGTTAAGATCATAGATGTTACATCACAAACCCTTCGGGTGAGTTTTGCTGTTCTTTGTTGGCTCAAATTCGATGGTTGTGCTAAATTTTCTTAATGTGTGGCCAGAACCTATTTTGCTTGGTTGCACTGAATTTTGTAGTAGTCTCTAGATTTTGTTTATACTTTCTGATGATTGTGATACACTCCAGTCGAAGTTCAGTTGTTCTGAAGCATTCTTTGCTCAAGGAAGTTCTTGTATCTTGATGATAATTAAAATCTTCATATACTAGATTCTTTTTCGTACCCCAAAAAGTAATGGAATTCACCCAAGGCATTCAAAGATTCAGAGAGTTTGTGGTACTATTTGCGGATTGTATCATCAATGCAAGGCGTTGGTCTTCTGTTTTTTACTCTTTCCTTATTAGTATTTTTGATATTTGAGTATATTCTTTGACCAGCATCTTTCTATATTAGTTTTGTTCAATGAGAGACTGAGCGACTTCTAGGTTTTCCGTGTTTCCTTATCTTCTTTACATTCTATGGCCCAAATTTATGGCAAGATATGTTGTGTGGCATCTCCTTTATGATGCATGCAAAATCTTTGTTGTTGTTCTGTATTTTTTAATTCGGAGCAGTTTGAGTTAGTGACTTCAAATAAAGAGTGATTGTTGTTTAATTATCATTGTGGACTCTTGCAGTTATCTATGCAATCTAATTGGAAAATTTATCAGCTATCATGCCCTGCAAGACCAATGCTGTGTTATATTTTCTTACTTGTTGGATTCGTTCATAAGCAATTCGACAAAGGAAGCTGTCAGTACTGTAAGTATTTATTTCCCCTGCTTTTAGGGAATTCTTTCAACCGAAAGGGGTCAGAGGGCATTATCATCTTTTGATTCATGTGACAGATCTCTGATTGAGGTGAGATTTCAACTCTGAATTTGCTATCAGCTAATCTATTCTTCCTCGAGTTGCTACCCTCTCAGCATTCTCCCATTAGCAGCATGGTTTCTTTTTTCCAAAATAGTATCTCGAGATATGACTCCCTAGATGATATTTATTGGGTTTTCACCTCTGCATTAGGATATATAAGAATATAACTGCCATAGCAGATGCCCATTATTGTTTTGTCTTTGTACCAAATGTTTTGTTTTATATATATTCTTCGACTATAATTTGTTGCTGCTATTTTCTCTTAGGTGCATGGCAGGGGCGTTGACCTTGACATTGTTGAGAATATCTTACTGGATCACCAAAAGAAAATCAAAGGTAATCAATATACAATGCTTCGCCTTCCAAGAATCTCTTTGAATAAGACCTAGAAGTATCATAGAGATTAGGTGTTCTTTTGTTGTTCTATTGATTTCAAAATATCGGAAATATTCAGGCAAGACTTAGAAGTATTAAAAATCTTAGTTCCATTTGAAATATTCTAAATGGTGTGGACACATCTTTTCCCTAGATTCTATAAAGTATTTCACTGCATTGCTGAGCCTCTGGAATCTGGATGTAGGGTCTCCTTTGGAAATTGTTGAAAGCCAAATTCATCGTGTTTAATGAAGTAAAGGCTACAATGCTTCGACTTATGTTTTTTTTTCATTTTCCTGGGTAAAGAATGGTTCATTTTCGGTATTGTCAGCTGATAGCATCTCATTGGAGAAGTCTGAAGTGTGGTCAACTGAGAATAAAAACTTTGAGACATGGATTTGTCAGCTTGTGTACTCTCTCATTGCTTTCTGTGAGGATGTGACAATAAGGTATCAGTTTATTTCCTAATTACAGAGGGAATTAATTTTAAAGTTCAAACAAAAGCTTATTGCTGGCTGGATCATGTTTGCTTTTTTGTTTAACAGATTATGCCAGCACATAGCACTGCTGAAATCCGAGGTTTCTGAGCTTCTTTTCCCAAGCGTTGTTGTTAGTCTTGCTGTAAGGACTGGAACTGATGTCAATTTATACAAATTGATTTCAACACAGGTAATATTTCTTGTTTTTGTTAGTCTAATATTGCAAGTCCTTCCAATTGTATACCCTCTCTTTTATTAGGGTTTATTTTCTTTCTCATATGGAAATCTGATTTTTCTATTGAACTCCGTTCCGCTTTTGCACTCTGCATTTCTTATTACTGTAACGTTTGAAATTGTCACCTTTCTTGAACTATGTTTTGTTTGTTGTGGTTAACCTGCAAAACTTTTGTCTCCATTCGAGTTTATCTCCCTCTTTGTCTCTCCTAATTAAAATATTCATCTTTGCTGCTACTTCTTGATACCCTTTCAGGGCTAGTATCCAGCCGGCAATGCGGGGGTGCATTTGCTAATCCTTATCATTTTCCTTCTGCAGGTTAAAGAGTATATCTTCATTGAATCAAACAAGCTAACCAAATCGAAGCAAATAATGTTGAATGTCCTTAATGATCTGCGAATGTGTTATGTTCTCGAAAGATTGAGTTTTTCGGGACAAACAAAGAGAGAAAGTTCTAGGGTAGGTATCCCAATCCAGAATGATTTCAATATCGTTATGTTTCATGGTTTCATGGTAACTGCCAAGGAATAATATCGTGTTGCATAGGCGATAGTCTTCCTTACCAGTGACCACACATTATTTGTGCATCATGGAAGACCAAAATTTAGATTCTGCTGTTTATATCTATACATTGTCCAAATTTGATTGGTATGTGTAGATGATGCAACTAAAATTTGAAATAATTCTTAGTTTCTTTCTTCTTCATTGTTTCTTTCTTAAAATAATCAAGATTTTCCAGCTTGATGTAGTGTCGAAATCCAACAAGTATAAGACATATTCTCAATTCCTTTTAACATTAATGTTTAATGCTATTGTAGAGTGCTAAGAATTCTAGCTACAACTCAAGGTCTTCTTCTGCCTCTATTAATGTTAGAGATGTTGCAACTGCATCCAATGGGATAGCAGGTTCCGTGACTACAACTTGGGACAAGGTATTTTGCCTCTTGTGTTTGGATATTGTCTTGTAAACAATGTGTTTATGCAAAATGGAGGACTTGTCATTTTGTTGCTGCCCAAATTTGTTTCTTCCAACTTTGGTTGTGATATCATTCATCACTTTATAATCAATCAAGAAAGATACACGAGACAGTTACCTAGCTACCATTTATATGATAAAGCTGTTTGCTATTTAGGTATTTTTTTTATATCATTCTATGTGGTACTAGTTGTGTAACATGTGATTCCATTACATTATTGGATGCTGACTATTTCACTTCATCATTTCAAGCATATGTAGGATTGCTATTTTTCTCTTAATCTATTTTGATAGTGAGAGACTTTTACGTCTGTCAGGTCTATTGGCTTTCCATTGATTATCTTGTTGTCGCCAAGTCAGCAGTGGTGAGTAATCCCTTTATTTTTAACCTTTGGCCAATTCTTGTAAGTAAGGCTCTGAATTTTACGGTGGTACAGTAACCAATTCATTCTCCTCAGGCTTGTGGTAGCTATTTTACTGCTTTCATGTATGTGGAGCACTGGTGTGAAGATCAATTTGGCAGTCTCACCTTAGGAGATCCAGATTTTTCTTATAGTGATATGGTAAGTAATTGTACACTTAATGTGTGTCTTCTAATTGGATTACTGTACGGGATAATACTCTAGGTAACCAAGTAGTACTGTAATAAGCATTAACTTTATGGTTAATCATGAATCTTCACCATGTATGTAAGGTCCTCTGAAGCTTTTTCTACAAAATTGTTGGCACAAGGATCTCGTTGATGACAATTGAATTGTTTAAAAAGAGTACGAGTTAGCACAATATCCGAAAACAGAGAAATTGTTCTTGTTTTAGCGGCTGTGTAACCTATCCTTTTGGTGTACAGCTGCCTAGTCATGTTGAAATACTTGTGTCAGCAATAACACGAATAAACGAGCCCGACAGCTTATATGGGGTTATACAGTCAAACAAGGTTAGTTTTTTATACTGGTCCTTGGTGTAGATTACGTTTTTGATCGTTTCATCCACTCATTTGACATGTTTGCATATCATGGTATGAGTTGCAATTACTAATTTTCCACAAAGTGTTGCCATCAACTTGGTTCAAATAGAAAATGGAGCAGAACCAGTTCAATTATGAGAGGAAGCAAAATAACATCTATTCTACCAATGTCCTAGAATATAGCTTCGAAATGATAGGATACCTAATGAAAATATCTGTTGCTTTTAATAACAAATGAAATATGAAATATATTACTATTAGTTGCTTTTATCAATGCTAATTGACGAATAACAAATGTCCAATCCTCCTGTTAGACCTGCAGAAGACAATGAACTTATAGTGCTTATTACCGTGTAACAGCAGCATAAATTTTCCTATTTTTTCTTTGAAGTGTCTTCGGTGTTTTGATATCCCTGAAATGACATTTTCTGCTTTTATTCCATGTTGATGATCTCCGAAAGTTGACCTCTCAAATAATCACCTATGAGCATGAGGGGAACTGGACTAGAGCCCTTGAGTATTATGACTTGCAAGCACGCTCAGAGAATATGCTGCCACATTGTGGTGTAGAAGTGGAACGTTGTCAACCAGCTTCTGGTGCATGGCATTCTATTCATAACGAACAGGCAGTTCAGAGGAAACCTTACAAAGGGCTTATCAGATCTTTGCAGCAGACAGGCTGTATGCATGTTCTGGATCTGTATTGTCAGGGTTTGACTTGTCGAGAAGGCTACTATCAGTATGATCCAGAGTTCATTGAATTGCAGGTGTGTATCCTGATGGTCGAATATATGACCTGATTTCTTTTGTAATGGTGGATAACACTTTTCTACTGGTTCTGTTAGCAAGTTGGTTAGATAATCATATCTCAAATCAAATTTCTTGGATAAGGAAAGGGATGACAAACTAGTCTTGTACGTCTTAAAAGAGCCATGGGTTTTCAAGTCTTACCCAGGTTGAAGAGTGACATAAAGCAATACCCACCAAGTAGCAACTTGTAGGCTTGATAATAGTTCTAAATTTTGGGTGAGTCAATTTGTCAGGGTAAGGTGAATAAGTGTGGTAGTTTAGTTGATGTTCGACTTCTTTTTTGCAGTATGAGGCTGCCTGGCGTGCTGGAAATTGGGATTTTTCTTTACTTTATCCACAAACTAGCTGTCCTCCACTTCAACATGCCAAGAGCAGCAATTATCATGAAAAGCTTCATTGGTAACATTTTTCTAATCTGATTCATTATCATGCTAATTTATACTTTTTTAGTCCATTCTCTCTTTTGGTTTTTGTAGTTTTAAATTGCATTGAAGCACGAATTATATTATATTATGTAATCCCTAACCCTATAGCTAGCTTTATATTTTGGATTAAAAAGAAACGTGTGGCTCCCCTTTATATGTCTATCTACTGATTATGAATGAGAAGTTCTTTGAATTATTCTGAGGAAATTTTAAATAGATAAGTCAAAGCCTCTATGAAATGATGGTCTCTGGCATATTTTCTTCTGGCTCTCTTCTTTCAGTGTCCGTCTTCTAGATATCAAATGGCTATTGGTCATGTGGGAACGTTTTATAGGTTTTAAAGGTCCTATATGAGAAACACTAGGTTTATCCTTAGTTTCTTTTTCCATGTTTTTGTCTTACATGAATCTTTCTCAGTTGTTTGAGAGCATTGCAAGAAGGGGATTATGATGGATTTTGCGGAAAGCTGAATGATACTAAGATGGTACTGCATGATGATATCAATCCATATTGGTTGGCATGCTGCTTTATTGTGATGCACTAATATTTTTGCATTTGCTCTATTTCAGGAGCTTGTATTGTCCATTTCTCGTGCAAGTGAGGAAGGCACTGGGTTTATATACTCAACAGTTTTGAAACTTCAGGTGAGCGATATGATTTTTAATAGACAAAAAAGTAGTATAATATTTTAGTTATAGGTATTATTGCATCATCTGGATGCCAGAATTTAGTGATGCTAAGGTTACTCAATGGTCACTGTTATTCATATCAATGACTTGATAATGGTCCATTTCTTTCCACGACCCCTTAGAAAATTGACTTCTTGTATTATCATCTTGGATTCTTGCTTGCTTTCCATCATCTTGGTATGTAGTTTTCCAACATGAATCACATCTTTCATTATCAAGTTTGAGGAATAAAGTGCCATATAGTTGTCAGTATCTGTACCTACATGCTCTAAACACAACCAGAAACAACTTTTGTGGATGTAGCAGTGACTGATAATATGGTCAGATTGCAAAATATATTTTATTGGAGTAGAAAGGGCTCCGGAGCACCAAAATAGGGTTGATAAATGCTTGTAAATAAATGTTTCTAATAACCATCATTAAGCTGGACAACACAAGATCGACGAAAAAGTTTCTTGATTTGAAATTGTTGTTGTGCCCTTTTTTCAGATTCTTTATCATCTTGGACTATCCTGGGATCTTCGTTGGAAAACATCTTCACATCAAAGAGTGAATGTCTATCCGTTAACAAAAATGGCATGTACAGATCCTGTGATTCCTACAATGGAGCAGGTATTTTGTCTTTCCATTTTCTTCTCCAATTGCTTCTCCTTCAGTTCCTAATGAGTGATATAATCCTCTCACAATGGGTAATTGGCACTTATCAAGGCCAAATATTGTGGATTTGTTGTCATATGGTTCACTATATGTATCTGTGCAAGCTACCAGTAATGGGATAATCATGTCGCCAGCACTGCTCTTATGGTTTTGAAATGCAGTTGTCTTGGCTCAATAAGGATTGGAGCTCTATTATGAGGCGAACTCAGCTACACATGAATTTGTTGGAACCATTCATCGCATTTAGGAGAGTTCTTTTCCAAGTTTTGGGCTCTAAGGACACCACCATACAGCATCTGTTGCAGTCTGCGTCATTACTTCGAAAGGTATGATGTGACCACATACAGTTACACTTCTTGTCTAATACAATGGGCCAATACATTATTTTGTGTCTTTTAGGGATCACGGTTGTCTCAGGCTGCCGCATCTTTGCATGAGTTCAAGTTCCTATGTGCACGAAGTGATGGACAACATCAAATTCCTGATTGGCTTGGAAGGGTACAATTTATTGGCTTTGTCAGTCTTCATTGGTACTTTTAACCAATGAAATTGAAACAAATTTCTTTGCTTAACCTCGTATACTTTGTGCAATTCATAACCTCTTTTTTTCCCCTCATAACTCATTGATTTTACAGTTTCTTCTAGTTTTCTTCCTTTCTTGATGTTTATGTCAGACAACAGAAAAGGCATACAACTTAAACCGTTGATCATTGTCACAATGGGTAGTTGTAACCTAGGATGTAAAACATCTCTTCATGTATGATTGTGGGCACATAATTCCTCCTTTTGACATCTTTCAATTACTTCACCGCTTGATTTAGAACAGAGCGTATACTTAGAACTCTACTAGAGACTTGATTTCCATTAACCTCCCTTTTGCTTTTCAGATTGAAGAAGCAAAACTACTACATGCCCAAGGGCAGCATGAAGTTGCTATCAACCTTGCTAGTTATGTCTTACAGAATTACCAATTGAAGGAAGAGGCTTCAGATGTATATCGCTTGATTGGAAAGTGGCTAGCAGAAACCAGATCTAGCAAGTAAGACTTTTATTTTGGTCCAAGTGCAATTTTGTTATTATGCATCATCACGTCGTACGAAATCTAATCTTGGTTTGTGTTGTATTTTTTCTGGGATATAGTTCTAGAACAATTTTGGAGAAGTATCTCAAGCCTGCGGTTTCACTTGCTGAGGGACAGAGTTCCAAGATGTGCAAAAAGGTGATAGAAAGGCAAAGTCAGACTTGGTTCCATCTGGCTCATTACGCAGACGCTCTGTTTAAGAGTTACGAGGAAAGACTCTCCTCCAGCGAATGGCAAGCTGCAATGAGACTACGGAAACACAAGGTCTCTTAGTGGTTGCTTAAGTCTCATTTTTTCTTTACTTCCTTGCTTCCGTATTTCTGTTTTCGAAAGCTTTCGACCCTAAATCTGCTCCAAAGTGCACAGTGAATCCATCCATTCAGTTGCTGTAAACAGGAAGAAATATAAAACAGTCAATTAAAAACTGCTTATACCTTTTTGTGGGAGAGACTAATGAGCGTGGATAATTTCCCAGACGAAGGAATTGGATGCACTTATCAAGCGGCTTAAGAGTTCAACTAAGGTGAGTAAGAGTTCTACTTGCTCACTCTCCTCAACGTTTCCTCCTTTTAGCTAAGAACAATGGGAATTTATGTCCACCTGAGTCTCTAATTTGATTTCATATTTGACCTTTTAATGTATTAGGGAGATAAAATAGACTATTCTCTAAAGATACAAGAGTTGCAGAAGCAACTTTCAATGGATAAAGAAGAGGCAGAAAAACTACAGGTATGACCTTAAGCTAGATAATCTAGCTGCTGCTACGAGTCGTGCTTGTTTTTCGCTATAGATGGTATGGTTACTGACACTTTGTCTCCACCTTCCCCCATAATATCATAGGATGACAGGGACAATTTCCTGAAACTGTCATTGGAGGGATACAAACGATGTCTTGTAATTGGCGATAAGTATGATGTCAGAGTGGTATGTACATCTAGATCTTGTATGCTAGGTGTGACTATGTTGTCTAATGTTGAATCAGTGTCAAATTTCCAACCTTCAAGTTACGTGAGGAAATGTTCTGCCATGCTAGTATATTTCATTAATCTGTCAAAATATGATTTTCCTTGAATGGTTTTCTTCCTGTTGTAGGTAACAGCTCCTAATGAATCTGACATGTGTTTTCAAATTAAGAATTCTCCAATCCTGTACTTTCAGATTGCTGACTCATTCATGTAGATTCAATCAAAAGATCAACTCTTATGACAGAATTGGCCAATCAAACTATTTGTATTGCCTGTTTTGTTTTCTCTTTCCAACCTCTTGTATTACTATAGTTTTGGAGTTAACTGTCCATTGTGGTAGCCTGCTATATTTTCCATCACTTCCATTCATGGGCGGCTGTGGAATCTATTTAAGTGGCTATCCCAATGTCCAACATAGCTTCTTCTTTTTCCTCTGTTGTGATCCCTTGGTGCTTTTAGACATCTGCATTGGATTTTTCCTTGTAGAGTTATTCCTCATAGGATTATCAGTCGTTTGCTGATTTTAGCGGGTCCGTATGCAGTTTCATAATTGCTCCATGTTCAATTAGTTCTTGTAGTTTGTGTAAATATGGATCTCTGTTGCAGTTGGTTTAAATTGTAGTTTATAGGGTTTAGTTTTTAGGAAATCTACTATAATGCTTCAATTTTATGATAGATTGATCTTTCAGATTACGTATGTTTCTCATATCTGGATACACTTTCTAATAAGATTCATGTTCTAACTTTATCTACAGAATATCAAAGAAAGTTACTGCTAGTATTTGTCTTTGCTTTCTAACAGCATCGTGAAGTTGAGAGATTTAACCTCGATGTGCATTTTATTATGTTGTTGAAAAGTAGCATGAGTCATGGAGCTAATATTTTCTTCTACAGGTGTTTCGATTAGTGTCGATGTGGTTCAATCTCTCCTCCCACAAAAGTATCATAGATAACATGTTGAGCACCATTGATGAGGTACTCAACTAACGTGGATTCTTTTTTTTTTTTTCCATTTTTATCTGCTTGGTATAGCAATCCTTTGTTTTTCTCACCAGCCTTTCTATGTACGCTTAGCAATTTTAGTCTTCTTGCATGTTCTTGCAGGTTCAATCTTATAAATTTGTACCACTTGTCTACCAAATTGCCTCGAGGTTGGGTATCTCCAGAGATGAGTCAGGTTCTCGTAGTTTTCAGGTGGACTGCAAATTTTTTTACTGTTACAGAGAACCTGAAAGTTAAAGCTTCTTGCTAACCTCTGTGACCATGATCCACCACTTGCAGCTTGCTTTGGTTTCTCTTGTCAGAAAAATGGCCACTGATCATCCATACCATACAATCTTTCAGGTTCTAAATGAATATTGACATTCGTCTAGTGGATTTGTTTTCTTTCTTCTTTCTTCTTTTAGCTTTTCTTGTTCACTTTCTCTGGTCACATCAATCATTAGAACTCCATGGATTTAAGTCTAACTTTCAATTACTTATGTTGGCTCTAATCTTCTCAAATAAACTGAAGTGGAAAGTCTTCCTGTAAGTCTTCCTTTCAATTACTTATCGTGTTGTGTTGTGTAGCATGGCCTGAGAAGTGCATCTTTGGGAACCCAACAATTTGTTTATCTTTTTGTTAACATACCTTCTTGACCGGAAAAGCTTTTGCTTCTGCTTCCAGCTTTTGGCTTTGGCTAATGGTGACCGTATCAAGGATAACCAGCGCAGTAGAAATTCATTTGTGGTTGATATGGATAAAAAGCATGCGGCAGAAAATATCTTGCAGGATCTGTCAGATTGTCATGGACCTATCATTAGACAGGTGATCCTTTTGTGTAGGTTTTTGCAGTTGGGTCATTTTACACTAAGTTTCTTATCAGCTCATATTTTTGTCAGATGAAACAAATGGTGGAAATTTATATTAAGCTTGCCGAGCTTGAAACAAGGAGAGAGGTTTGATAATTCGTTAGCATAGTATTTGTTTCCTTTTTTGCTGAGCCCAAAGAACATCTTCTGAAGCCTAGATTGAACTCTTTGTTTGCAGGATACAAATAAAAGGGTAACACTACCAAGAGAAATCCGTAGTGTTAAACGGCTTGAACTTGTAAGCATGCAACTTTTCTGTTATACCACTTATTTTTGTCTAACTCTGAATTAGTTTCTTTTTTGTTTTTGTTTAGGTACCTGTAGTGACTGCTACAATTCCTATTGATCGTAGCTGTCAGTACAATGAAGGCTCATTCCCTTACTTCAATGGATTATCGGATTCTATTACGTTAGTTGTTGCCATCTTAATCAGTTGGACTATTTTTGTCATTTCTAGTTTAGATTTGCTCATTCAAAAATTCATCTTGACATGCAGGGTGATGAACGGGATAAATGCTCCAAAAGTTGTCGAATGCTTTGGTTCTGATGGTCGTAAGTATAAGCAACTTGCAAAATCTGGCAATGATGACCTCAGACAAGATGCTGTAAGAATTTGGCTGTTGTTTGATCAATTTACTTGTAATGTTCACATCTTGATCCAAAGTGTGTACCATTTTTAGCGGTACTGCTGGGGGCAAAGGAAAATGTCTTGACCTGGTCAAAGATTACTTATTTGATGTTCTATTATAGTTGGTTTCAAATTTTTTTATAATAATCGTATTAACTGGTATTTTTCTCTGGTGACATAGTATGCGTTCAATTGGAAAACTGTAGGACTTGTATTTTTTTTCCTATCAAGCAGCGCGCTTGGTGTGATACACCTGCATTTGACATTTTTTGCAGGTTATGGAACAATTTTTTGGTTTGGTCAATACATTTTTACTAAATAATCGAGACACATGGAAGAGAAGATTAGGTGTACGAACATACAAGGTAACTTCTCTTTATTCCATCAACAGGATGTTGTTTCCTTTCTCAGCATTTATTCAGGGAAATTAATCCTTTTGTCATGTTTCTTTGTGATGGATAAAATTCTTAGGTTATTCCATTCACTCCAAGTGCTGGTGTTCTTGAATGGGTTGATGGCACAATTCCACTTGGAGATTATCTTATAGGAAGGTTGGTTTTGGTAGTTCATATGGCTGTTAAAATGGTACAACAATTTCCCAATTTATAATCTTGATAATTTGTGTTATCTTGTCACATATCAACTCAAAGCTCAAGGAATGGAGGTGCCCATGGTCGATATGGGATTGGAGACTGGCAATATCCAAAATGCCGAGAACATATGTCCAATGCAAGTACCATTGCTTTCTTTGATTTCTTTTTCTTGTTCGTTTTTTTTGTTTTCCCATTCACCATCCTAGCATAAGAAACATCCCTTTATAATTAACTGATGAAAGCTGGAGCATACGAAGTGTGATAATAGGAGTTTATTTATACTATATAACCTTGTAGTCATTGAACCCTTTTTCCGTTGTCTAATCTCGTGCTTTTGATACTTAGTATTATATAACCCATGGTCGTTATGGTATTTGCTGCGTGTAGGCAAAAGACAAGCGCAAAGCCTTTGTGGAAGTTTGCGCGAATTTCAGGTTTGATCATTTTTTTCGAGAATGCACAATCTACTCTCCAATGCTATTCGGTGGCTTACGAAACCACCCCCCTGTTGCAGACCTGTCATGCATTATTTTTTTCTGGAAAAGTTCCTACAACCTGCTGACTGGTTCGTGAAGAGACTTGCTTATACACGTAGCGTCGCAGCTAGTTCAATGGTGAGTCTTTCGTTTTCTAATGATACTATCTCTCACTTCTTTGCATGGTTTAAATTTGATGTTGATCTTGTAAATAAATTAGTGAAATTAACCAGGCTGAAAATTTGTCATTAAATTTGGAGAAATACTTTTCTGCTCTAAAGGCCAAAATTCGTTTCATGCATTGAAACACCGTATATAAGAAATGAGAAATTGGTAATACAACCAGAGAGGTGTTAAACATTAATTGAGATTTAGTCTTTTTCATCTTTAAATGCTGTTTTTTTTTCCGTAAATGGGTAAGAAGAATAGCAGCCTCCCACATGGTTTCCTCTTCACCTCTTCCGGAAATGGTTTAGGGCTCCATTGATATCCATATGGTGTGGATCTATGCTTGTGTCAACTGAAGTATCTGTTTTCCTAATTTCCTCTCTGAAACCTCACAATCTAATGGGATTTAGTACCTTGTGCTTTCAGGTGGGTTACATTGTTGGTCTTGGGGACCGTCATGCCATGAATATCATAATTGATCAAGCCACGGCAGAAGTTGTTCACATAGATCTTGGAGTTGCCTTTGAACAAGGATTAATGCTCAAGACTCCTGAACGGGCATGTTTTATGCCTTCTGCTTTCCTTAATTCATTCAGTAGTTAAATATTTTTGCTTAAAGATTCTAATGTATTCAGCTTTGTCCTGATTTGACAGGTTCCGTTTAGGCTAACAAGAGACATAATTGATGGCATGGGTGTCACAGGAGTTGAAGGCGTATTCAGGAGATGTTGTGAAGAAACTTTGTCAGTTATGCGGACAAACAAAGAAGCATTGCTCACGATCATTGAAGTAAAATGATCTGAATCACGAACCAGAAGGTTAAAATATGAATACAATACCGAATACTTAAAATCAAAATGGATATGTTTGCAGGTTTTTATACATGATCCTCTCTACAAATGGGCCTTGTCCCCCTTGAAGGCTTTGCAACGGCAAAAGGTACTCTGTACCCTTAAATTTGTTTTCGATTGTAAAAGAAGATCCCTTTCTTACTATTTCCTTCAAATTTGTCTTTTCAAGATACTAATAATGATCAAGAACGGAAAAGAATGTCTTTTTCCACAGGAGTTTTGCCTTGTTTGCATTTCTCACTCGAGCTATTGTGTTTTGATTTGTAGGAAACTGACGAAGATGAAGATCTGAGCTTGGACGGACTGCAAGAGGAGTTCGAGGGTAACAAGGATGCTGCACGTGCTTTATTGCGTGTCAAGCAAAAACTCGATGGCTATGAAGGTGGTGAGATGAGAAGCATACACGGCCAGGTAATTCTATAAACTTCCATGGCCATCCCTTAAAAGTGTTATATTACAAACTCAAAGTTGTCCACAGTCTGGGTGTATAGATCTAGCTGCTTCTGGAAGATCACTGCCAACTTTCACAATTTGTGCTTGAATTTAGCATAATACAGACCATTATGAAATCAATCTGCTTGATTTTGATTAATGACAGCTTGTGTGTGCGTTTAAGTAGAGTCTAATGGGTTATGGTATATTTGATGTTCAATGGCTTTGTAGGCTCAGCAACTGATACAAGATGCAATTGACAACGACCGTTTATGCCAAATGTTCCCTGGTTGGGGAGCTTGGATGTGATCTCTTCTCTTCTCTCACTTCCTTTTCCAATTTTGGTCATACGTTGAGTTATCGTTTTGTATGTGAAGAGTCTGAACAGAGTAAAACTTGGAAAAAATTATGTGTATAACTAGCATTCGGCATATATATGTCTAATGGGTAATCATAGTGAGTATGTATAATCCCTGTTCTTGGATTTAATTTCTATTCTGTTTATGATTTTATTTTATGTATTTTGGGACTCTTGATACAATTAGTGTGGACATTTTAAGTTTTGGCTATATTTTGGTTTGATTATTATTTTTTTATTTGGGCTATTTAGTTTTGTAAAAAAAAACCATATGCATTCGGGTTTTATGCCAGTTGTTTACCTTGATTTGGTTTTTTTGTGTACTTTTTCATTTTTTTTATATTTTAAATAAATTAAATCTAAATGGGTATGAGATAGTGAAAACAGTGCATTTCTAGTAAAAGGGTATGTTATCTTTCCAAAATCGATATGGAAGATCATGTTTTTACACGCGGAATTTACATGCATAGGGACCTTTTTGCGCCAAAGTAAAATATGGTGCTCTTTCTGCACGAAAGTAAAATATGGTAACGCGATTTTGGAAAGTCACTCGTTTCGAAAGCCAGAGTTTCCTCCATTTCCCGACGACACAACAGCTTCTGCACCGTCTCGCTCTCGTGTTTTCTGCTGATTCTGCTCATCTGCAAGGTTCGTGCTTTATATCAATGGTTATGTATGATTCACTATTCTCTATTCGCCTATGTGCAAGAGAAGTTGTTCTAAACTAGTTGCGCACCATATGTTCGTAGAAATGCCTGTCGATATTTCTCCGGAAGTCTCGATTTTTGTTGATGGGTCATGGGATTTGACTTCTGGGTTTATGGTTTCAAAATTTCTATGAGATCGTTCACTGGTGAATTTGGCTTTTGACTTTCTGATTTTGGAACTTTTCCTCTTTTTTATTTTTATATTTTTTGTGATTAGTGTTGGCTCAAAGAAGAAGATCAGAGGAAGATGATTTTCTGAGAGGATAGATTGCGATGGCTGCAACACCATTAATTCCATTCATTGACAAAGGTTTCCTCTTTTCAAGGTTCATTCCATCACTACCTCTTGATGTTGGAAGATCTAGAGCAAGCAGTAAAACCAGTTCCAAGAAACTTGGAAGTCTCTCGTTGGACATTTCATGTTCGGCCAACAAGATTGTACGAAGTCCATCCCTAGACAGACATGTAGTGAAGCAGAACAAGATTCGGTTTGTTCAGAAGCTGAAAACACTGTTACTCTCCAAACCAAAATATTTCATACCGATTCAGATCCTCTACAAATGCCGGTCCTATCTCTCCCTTGAATGTTCACGGTCCATTCTTCCCATGATCCGTCGGTATCCTTCCATTTTTGAACTCTTTACAATACCGATACCACCTTTGCCTATAAATGCCACTAAACCATTGTCTCAGCTCTGTGTTCGTCTGACTCCTGCTGCAGCTTCCCTTGCAATGCAAGAATTAAAGCATCGGTCTGAAATATCTGATAAATTGGCAACTAAGCTTCAGAAGCTTCTAATGTTGTCATCCCATCGCAGGTTGCTTTTGTCTAAGCTCGTTCATCTCGGCCCAGATCTCGGTCTCCCCCCTAACTTCCGGTCCCGACTTTGCAATGACTATCCCGAAAAGTTCAAGACCATAGATACATCATATGGGCGAGCACTCGAGCTTGTCTCATGGGATCCTGAATTAGAGAAACCAATGCCATCTCCTGATGTTGATCGGGGATTGATAGTTGATCGCCCTTTGAAATTCAAGCGTCTGAGACTCCGGAAAGGGTTGAACTTGAAGAGACGGCACCACGATTTCTTGATAAAATTTAACGATTTTCCCGATGTATGTCCTTACAGAACATCATCAGAAAGCCTAGCAAAAGAGTCCATAGAGGCAGAGAAGAGGGCATGTGCTGTTGTGAGAGAGGTGTTGGGTTTAACAGTTGAGAAGAGGACTTTGATTGACCATTTGACGCATTTCAGGAAGGATTTCGGGCTACCAAATAAGATAAGAGCATTGGTAGTGAGGCACCCAGAACTCTTCTATCTGAGCCTGAAAGGCATGAGGGACTCTGTATTTCTTGTGGAAGCATACAATGACAAAGGCGAGCTCCTAGAGAAAGACGAGACATTGGTTATAAGAGATCGGTTAATAGAACTTGTTCAAGAAGGAAAGAGAATGAGGCGTGAGCGGAGAAGGAGGAAAGCCGCCAAGGAGAATGGCATTGATGATGATGATGATGATGATGATGATGCCATCATTGTCGATTATGTTAGTGATATGGATGATGAGTATGATGATGGATTTGAGAATCTGTTTGATTCGGAAGATTCAGGTGTGGAATATCATTTTGAAGAAGACGACGACAATGAAGAAGGCTTATGGGCACAAAATCATGGTGAAAGTGAAGAGTATTGGATCAGAGAGTTTTCTTCTTCTGATAATAGGAATACTGTAGGAGGGAGTGTTGAGTCTTGGTGAAGTGACTTTGGTGGTGAAGTGACTTTGGGGGGTTATTGTACAAATACACATTGTGTAATTCAAAGTTGCATTTGATCACATTTACAAATTTGTTTCTTGATCCTTTCATGGTATATAAAAAAAACAAACACCAAATATCAACGAGTTCGTTGGTTTTAAATCTTAGAAAAAAATCCCTAACAATTCCTGAACTTGTAAATTGCAAGAAAAAAAATTCTTCAACTTGCGATGTACCAAATAATTCCTGAATTTGTAAAAAGTATCTCGTTAAATCCTAATCTTGTTAAAAAATATCATATTAGTCTTTCGGAAAAACTGATTATAATAATATGATTTTATATCCTACGTGTCAGATGATATATGACATGTCAAGTGATATTTTTTGCCACGTAATCAGTATTCTAGAGTCTTATTCTAGAGTCTTATCTGACTCGTTTTTTAAAAAAAACTGTAAATTGTACATATCTCGCGATACAAACAAGCCGAGTTTTGAAATCGACTTAAATATTTATATACAAATAAGATTTAAAATATTTGAGTTTCAATTTTCAAAAACGGCACCTAACATAAAAAATCATAATTGCACAAATACAAACATAACATAAAAAAGAGAAAATCAAATGCAAATATATAAAATTATAATTCACCAATTCCAAATATCAATTCCTATTTGCAACAATGCAGCTTCGTCTGCTTGTAAAACCAAAATACCATCGTGAATTTGAATATCATTTTCAACTTCAATATCTTATATTTAATAAAAAATAAGATGAATTGAAAATATAAAACCTACAATTATGTAGTTTGCAATTTAGGTAGGAGACACGTAAAAAATGGAAAAATAAAATAGAGCTTACTCGTTCGCGAGCTAGCCACGAGTCGACTCGTGAACTCGTTTTTCAAACGGACCAAAAAATACTTTGGCCCAAACCAGTTTACGAGTCAACTCACTACCCACGGCTATATTTACACCACTGATATGGGCATACAAAAGACTTGAGACGTGGACTTCCTTATGTGAATTTTAAAATTACTAGATACCTTATTTTTCAACAAATTGGATTCCTGATATCAGACAAAAGACAATCAAAAGAGGACTATGTACCAAAGATAAATACTTGGAAATCCAACCCTAACCTCTCAATAATCTTGTATCCTCAACAGCTACTGTTTCTGATGATTTTATAACCCTAACAACCGAGCCGAATCTGATGTGAACACAAAACTCTGCCTTTTTATGGTTTCAACCGTTCTTCTAGTCTCTCGATGGCACCACCAACGCCACCCTTAACCTGGCTGTCGTGGCTCGGGATGTGATTGCCTTCATTTGCCTTCTCCAAGAGCTTCAGGTGTAACCAACCTGCCACACAAGCATGGTTTTCATCAGCTTTTATAAGGAATCTCAACGATCATTAAGCCCACACTCATATCGTATCGTATGGGGGTAGCAAAGATTCTATAATTTACGAGAATCGAACGTAAAACATATGTTCGAGTTTCTCTAAAGGGAAATGAAAGGAACATAAAGGATCATTCTCATATATCGTGGCAGAATTTCCGCCCTTCTCTCCATTCAAATGGAAATTCCCCAACAAAACATTTCCTCCATTTCTCTTCTTGTACCATTCCTTCACCTATTTTTTTCCTAATTTTTCTCTAAAATCTCACAAAATTTGAGTTGGATAGTTGTAGAGGCACAGAAACAATTTTTGAGCCATATGGACAAGCATACATGTCACCTGGAAAGGGTTTTTATAAAGCAGAATAAGAAATATTCTATAAGATTGACAGTAATTACCAAGGGGGAAACAAACTGCTGCTCCGAGAACTGAACCCAGCATCACATTCCGAGCACGCCATGCAAGGGACCCCGGCACTACCACATTGATCGAAGATAATATAGATTTGACAAGGAAAAGTAATAACCACGAGCTTGCAACTGAACTTAATAAACCAAAGCCCAAGCAATAATAAAATGGGAAGAGAATGCACTGCGAGTGTGATTGTATCAGTACTTATTAGGCCAAATGCTGCAGCCGTTGCTGAACCAGCTCCTACAACATTGAAAACGTCATGTGTCCCCCTCTGCTCGGCAAGAAGATTCTGAAGACCATAGAATGCAGCAGTGAACATCCCGAGCCGTACCCCTCCAATTATTGAGCCCCGAGTTACTCTGAGAAATCTTTTCTCCATTGCATCTCGCATCAAACGGTGCTGTTCACGTTTATCTGATGTACTACCCATCTTTAACATTACTTCTGCATCCTTGCTCTGCCAAACCACATGATACCATATAAGCATCAGAGAAAGTTGCATCTTGATTATATTTCAAATCTGAGGTTCATTCTATCAGTTACTATTACAAATGACTAACTAACATAAGCCAACGTATTACAGAGAGAGGAAATGGTTGAAAATATAAACATCCACTGCATGCATTAGAGGGTTCATAAAGGGGCAGGAACCAAAAGGAAAATGCTAAGCGAGACGCTTGTCTGTCTTTACATCGTTATGTTGCATCAACTATAATGATCCACCATAATAATTAGCCTGTACTGGCTAAAAAATCTTAAGCATCCACTCTTCGGGATTACTTATTCTAAAGATTCGTGACAAATTTTGCTTGAGAAACAGCCATATCGACTACCAAAACATGGACTTACCACAGAAGCAGAAGCCTCTTTGCTCCCTCCGTATAGCATCCCCGCAAATATGCCAACTACAGTGGCTGGTCCCCAATTGGCATTTCCAGCTAATTTCGAAGAATCCTGGTTCAAATGGTATTGTTACGATTAGCACGACCATCATTTCACATTCCACAGCCGAGGCAACATTCGAAGACAAAACAAGCACATTTACCCCATCTAAGCTCTGAACCAATTAACACAAACTTCGAGATAAGATTCGATACAAAGGTTACATACACTTAGGAAGCAAATAAGCAAAAGAGATATACCCAAGTCCGAATGGATGGCGAAAACAAACGAGTTGCGCAATCTCTTGAGCCAGATGAACTGAACAGAAGACTAACAGATGTTTCTAAGCAGGTGGTCACATGATCAATCATCCGATCCGAAACCGACATACATATCAATCGAGCGATGAAACTCTTAACCAATCTGGAGTTTTTCACATCTAATAGAGAAAGAAAAGAAATCTTACATCGGGGACAATGGTTTCTTCGGCCTTTCCGATTGCTTCCATAGCTCAACGATGACAAACCCTAGTCAATAAGATGAAGTCCCCACTCGCCGACGACGAAGCCGATTTTCCCGGCAACTAAACGGAGCCTCGAGTAACGTGAGAGAATACTGGAGACGAGTGCTTTAAAATTACGAGACTACCCTCTAAGACCTCCTTATTTGTGTTTTGCCCACTAGCGTTTTGGGCCGTAACCCATTCATTATCTGTTACGTTTCATATTTTTTTTTCATTTATTTTGTAATTTATTGCTCACTGATCTACTGTTTTTAAAAAAGTTTATTTTATTAAAAAACACAAAAAATTTGCCCAAAAGATAATATTTTTCATAAATTGTAATATATTGTTAGTTAATAGAATATACTGTTTTAGCGTAGTTCACATATTTATTTAGAACTAAAAAATTTCATGTATTTCATATATTCATATAAAATATTTCACAAGATTTTATGTAATACTTCTCGAAAAGATTATATTCATTATATTAAATTAAATTGTATTTAAATTCAAATTTTTATTAATAAAACTATTTCTTTTTTCTTAAAAAAATTGTTTTTAAAAGTAATTATATATTCTATTTAAATCCGATTTTTAAATTTTAAAAAAATGAATTTTTATACCAAATTAAACCGATAATTTTTATTCAATTTGGATTTGATTGAGATGTTAAACCCTATTTTGTACATTTACAATCTTAGGATATCTACATATATATATATAAAAACACATGCATTACATGAAAGAGAAATTAGGGTTCTTCAATTTTGGTTATAGACATGAAATTCCTTTTTTGTCATGTCTGATAAGCGAACACAGTTAAAACTCAGAGAAGGGCAGAGTTGTTGGCCACAACACCAGCTTCCGTGAGGAGAGACGCAAGCTTCCCTTGCCGGTGATTCTCCATCACTCCTGCAATACCAATACCAAAACCTGAACGAATAACCGAACCGATCTAGAAACCAAATGGTTATTATTTCTCTAAAACCGAAAAAACCCGAATCAAATCAAACTGAATAAAAAGTTAGCAACAAAAAAGACTGAAATTTTCTTCGAAAAATAAGTATTTTTATCATTAAAAACCAAACTCAATCTAAAAACCGGATGGTTATAGTTTTTTTAAAACTGAAACTGAATATAACCGATCCGAACCCGAAATGCCCAACCCTATGTCAAAAGGCATAAGAAACAACAGTGTTTTCGTCTGTCTTACGGTCGCATCCTCCGATGTGTTTTCCTTGGATGAAAACGTTCGGGACTGTCCTCTGCCCCGTCCAGACCGATAGTGCTAACTGGATTTCGCTCCCATCGCCTATCAAAACTCAGACACCAAAGGCATTTGCATTGTTTCCGTCTAACATGAACTTTACACCGAGTTTAGTTCCAATCCAAGGGAGATAAGATCATACAGTCTTTGATTCCTTACTCATCTCGTCGAGCTCGAGGACTTTGAAAGTAGCTCCTAGCTGAGTGAGCAACTGCTTCACCCTCTGGCAATATCCACAGTATGTCTTACTGCGAAAACGGAACGAAACGTATGCAGAGATTTGGATGAACAAGACAGATCAGTGATCCGACACAAATCGAATCCAGTTCAAGATTCCATCATACATTTCTAAACTATCCATCTCAGGAAGAACCCCCAAGGTATTTCACAAGCAAAAGATTTCGAAATGGTTCTCTCCATTCGATTTTCCCCTTGAATTCGGCCAAAGAACCTTAAGCACCCTAGTAATTGTTTCTCACGCCAAGAATTGGATTCAAAGTCCAAATTGATGGTAGTAATTGCCACAAGCCCATTTCAGATCTTCCGCTTTTAAGACTTGATTCCTATTCAAACCACTAACAAAAACTCCAGAACAAGATCACGATTCAACACTACTTCCTCGTGAAATAGAGATTGCAAACCCAGATGGAAAAAAGTCAAGCTTTATGTACGAAGAGACCCAAAACAAAAAACCCTATCAACGAATGATGAAGATTTCTGAGACAGAACCTGAAGACAACGACCGAGTAAGAGGCGACAATCTCTTTCGCCTTGTTCATCGCCATCTCCTTTTCCATATCCTCCTCCGTCTTCTTGTTCGGACTGATGAGAAACCCTAGTGTATTCCTCCATATGAGAATCCTTCGGAGAAGCGATGAGGGTTTCCGCAGAAGCCGTCAAAACAGATCCACCAGGTGTCTTCTGCTCGATTTCCGTGTCTGTGTCGCTGGCAAAACGAGGAGTTGCATTTTCAAGATGTTCGGTTTTTGTCAACCTCCGTTTTTTTAGAAGATGGAATAGCAAAATGCGTTTCGGTACGGTCCTTATAAACCGAACATAACTAACCGAAACATTTCATATCGTTTCTAAACCAAATCATCTAAACATCTCGAATGATTGATGTTTTCAGAATATCAAATTAAAGATGTACATATATATACACATATACATACATATATATCTACAGCCATATACTCATATATATACCCATACACATACATATATATATACACATACATACACATGTATATATATATGATATATACACATGCATATATATATATGTGTATATATATATATATATGTATATGTGTCTGTATATATATATACATGTATACATTTATTTATTTTATTTTATTTGATGTTGAGGTGGAATTTGACTTGGATGTGGTGAATTTTGACTTAACGCCATTTGTATTTAGTTTAGGGTTTATTTATCAATTTTTTTAAAATTATAGGTATATAAAAATTGATGGACCCTTACAGTTTAAACAGTACATGAGCCAAAGGAACACAAAAAAAAAAAACACCAACATTGTCTTCATTTTGAAGCAAAGATAGCCTCTAAATCTTTATACAGACCTTTAGGTCTCGGCCTGAGGTCAGAGGGCGAGTCTTTAGAAGAGCTTCCACTTCTTTTATTTGCCCAGAGACCGCTCCATCCACTTCTGCTCCCCGATGGATCATTGGGGCTCTTACCACTGCTTCTGCTTCTGCTTCTGTCTCTCGTGAAGCTTGCCTTGGCCATTTCCCTCAGATGTCTCAGCCACGGTCTTTCCGTACTGCCAGAGCTTCTGCTTCCAGTAGAGGATCTGTACTTATTGTCTGCAGAGAGGGCTCCCAGGATATCATCGGCGTTTCCCTCTTGTTCAGCCGCTGGGAGCTTGTTCTTGATCAGCTTCTTGGGGAGGAAAAGCGAGAAGATTCCAATGGCGAACAACTTGACCCCGCTCAAGAACGATCTGTTGATCTGATCTAACCTCTTTGTTTGTTTGTACAATGCGTACCACTCGTTGGTCATCTGGGCTGCGAACCCGATCAAGAACAGCGTGACCATGAATATCCCGAGTTTCTTCTCGCTCGTTTCTTGAAAGCTTCTCTCGACGAGGACTAAGCATGTGGCCGAGATACCGACTTGGCATGTGATGGAGATGATCTCTACCAACTGAACCTTTTTTTTGATGAAGGGCTTTTTCAGAACAAGGAAGAAGAGCTGGAAAGATGTGATGCACAAGATGATCAGTAGAGGAGTTTTTGCAGTTTCGTTCTCCGAGAAACCACCGGCTATGATCCCGAGGGAAACCCTCTTCCCGGTTTCGAGAAACGTGTAGTAAATTCTGAGGATTCCGAAGAGTTTCTGAATGCACGGAGCTTCAGCATCTTCAGTCTCGTCGTCTGATGCAATGATGCGATCATCTTGCTTGAGGGGATTGCTTCCGGAAATCTGAGACAGCATGTACTTTGGAGGGCCCCTTAGATCTTCGAACAGGGGACCAAACATAGTTAGATAAACAGAGTTCTGTTGTGTTTTCCATGTCCATTGGCCTCGTTTTCCAGGACCGAGGGTCACACGGATGAGTTCTTGATACCAGTGAAACTTCTCCCCTTCCTGATGAACTTCTTTGTACTGTAGTAGCTTCCCGAAAGTTATGCCTATCGAAAGGAACAGAAACAGAGCCAGAAGCAGAAGGAGCACTACACAAAGCACGATAATACCGACCACTACTCTCGCTTCTGCAGTTCCCCGATGCTTGAAATAGCCTGAGAATGTTCAAAATTGTCAGTGTTCTAAGCATTTGTAATGACAGCCGGAAAGCTATTCTCGTTCTATCCCGCTCTAACCGCAATCTATGCTTGTTTTCGGGGGATGAACTGTTCAGAATTAACGATACCTTGTATCAGGCTCCTTCCAGCTTTGCAGACAGAGGGTAGAAGAAGAATGAGAAGAAAGAGCTCGATTCTCGGGAAAACAAAAGCACCGAAGCTCATCTTCTTCTTCTCGGAGTTTCTCTGCTTAAATTTCAGTATCAGATACAAAAGTAGATGCAGCACCACTAAACTGCCTCCAATTACGGCTATCCAGAACATGATCCTGTAGAAATCTCTCCACCTACACGAAACAAAAGAACGAAAAAGTGGCAAGTATATGTCATCTGTACTGTATTACCACCTTTCATCTCCTTAATTCAGATTTGTAAAACCAATTTCATGCATATTGAAATAAACGAAAAAGATGTAAAACATATGTATATGTACACAGAAAGCTTCCAGAGCCTCACACTGATGAATGCCATTGATCAAGAAAGCGTTCTGCTTCCGGCTTGAGATTTGGTGTCTGTGAAATCATATCAAGAATGGTTCAGAATATACCCAACAGGTAAAAAAACCTGAAGAAATAAAAGCACGCGGATGTCTTTTTATACCTCAAAAAACCATCTGTATTCCACTGCGGTGAGAGGCAATCCAAACACCGACTCTGTATTCATTTCAGTCTGCTTGTTGTTGAGAGTTTCAGAAAGGAAAGAATACGGGCCATTGTGGGGATTTGAGGCCACCATTATCTGTTCATTGTGCTTAGCTTCCCACGGTAGCGGAAAATACGGGATTATCCATTGGATCCCTCTCACAAATTCATAGTACTCGACCGGGAATGTAACCGGTAGCCATCTAGAGAGTGCGAAAAACTGAATGTGACAGGCAGTTCTCTGTTTTGGTACAAAGAAACTCATGATATGGTTAATGTTTTCACTCATGAACTGCGTATTAAACATAACCGAACTGTTTAAGGTAAGATTCATACGAAAAGAATCCGAGTTGGGTCCGATGTCAGCAAAGGAGATGGTCTTGGAAATGCTCCGAGAGACTGAAGGTTTGCGGTAGAAAGAGTGAGGAGTCCCGAAACGAAAGATGTCGCCAAGAAAATGGATGTTGAAACCAAACTACTCACGGAAGATATTACCGGCATAGAATCTGCGGGCACATTGTGAACACAAATGCCTCGGGGATATTACAGTAGGCAAAAAGAGAAAAAAAAAATACTGTTATTGCACAAATTATGCATGGTGAAGAGGCTTACAGTGTCTCACTTCAAGAATATTTGATGCAAGGTTCTTGTTTCCCGCCACATCTTCGGTAACGTTTTCGGGAATCTTGACAGTGACTTGGCTAGTGTTGGCTTGTATGTATACAATGTATAGGCTCCGATTGAGTTCCTCGAAACTGGCTTGACAGGGAAAACATGAGAAAGCGCGGTTTTAGCACCTTTTTCCGTGTTACTTACTGATCTAGCAATCAAAAACTCAGATTTATGAAGAGAAATCAAGAAGAAATCGGAAG